TACTCTACTCCCTCCGATTCTTGGTAAAAAATGGCTGCAAGCATTACACATCATGTGCCAGCACTTTCCTAATGTGCATTGATTATAGACCATGGTGATTGTAGACCACGTCAGCACCGCTCTTCCACGCGTGCGATCTGCATGAGACCAAGTAGTGGCTCCTATGCAGTAGGCATGGCAAAGACAAACATGCTGATTCTTGGCTCGGCCACATCCTCTCTCTTCGGGTGGCGAGCCCTCCATTTTAAAAAAGCTAGCCTACGGTCAAAGCTTCGTCCAATTGCTCTCTGAGCCCTCATGACTAACAAGTCCGGCCAAGATAGGAAGTGACCGCGGCCGGGCACCGGCACACGTTCACAAATGACTCACGCACCGTAGGAGTAGCTAGTCTGCGACCGCCAACAGAGGCAAGCCACGATCACCGAGGACGACGGGTGGCACCGCATTGGCGCCTACTATGGCTAGGTACTGGCGCGCGCTTTAAATGGTTCCTCGGCGCCACAATACATGGCGTCAAGCTCGGCGTCAAGATCTGTGGCCCTGAGATACCGGCCACGTCAATGCCACCTAGGATTCCCTACTGCGCATGGCCAGGCACCTCGACGCCAAAATCTGTGGCGTCGAGACGTGTTACCTCGGTGTCAGGACTCATGGCGTCGACCCCCAGGGTCCAAAGATGAGTTTAAGTCTCTTATGGATCAAATGTAAATATTTTTAAAAAATGGTTAAATAGTAAAAATTAGGCGACAAACACGAGTGTCGTGGTGGACACCGCTTGCCAAACACTAGGCACGAGCCGATGGATGTGTACTGTAGATCTCATAAAGACGAGCCATGTGGCGTCGGCCGACAGAAATGACAAGATGGCCATGGAGACTCACTCTCCTAAAAAGTTGTGAAGCTTTTCATAAATCAAATATACAAAAACGATCATGGATATTTTGAGAAAAATGTGTTGTACTAATTTACCGTCAGTACCTTTTGGAATTTAAACAAGGCCTAAGATTTGGGAGGGTGACGTGACGTCCAACAAACATCATCATCATTGAGTGCTTTTCATGCCGGTCAGCGAGGCCACACAGAGCAACCGAGCGGTCTCTTTCACAGTCCATTCAAGTCGATCCTCGCGCGGCAGGATGATGGATGGCGTGGCACTGGCCAGCGCAAGATCGGTGGGTGCGGCGCTGGCCCCGCCACGCGTGATCGTGATTTCGATCGTCGCCACGTCATTTCATTGCCATGCATATGCATGGCGCTTGAGAGGGCATTTGGCCGCGCCAGAGCAATATGCGCAGCCAAAAGTGTTAGTTTAAAAAAACGACGGTGTTAGATTTAAAATTATATTAAAAAAGGGTTAAAATTAAAAAAAATATCGCGGCCGAGGGCGGCGAGCGTGCTCAGAGACTCCTCGGGGTGGAGAACACGTTGGTTGATATTTATCCTTGATATGTTTTCTATCAAATAGACATACAGTGGTATACACAAAATTATTTATAGTTGATCCTAGCTAAATGCAATGCATTAAACAGCTTAGAGACAGGACCCCGTCTATGGGTTGTATGATATATCTTTATACCTGTCTGTATGATAGATTCGAAGCATTTAGAGACGAACCCTCGTCTGTGGGTTGTACATGCCCTAAGCAATCTCCAAGCAAATGTCTTGACTCTTGGCCGGATCGTTTTGTCCTCCCATACCTGTTGAAGAATGTACAAAATTTTAGTAGGTACTCTATTTGTTTGTTCGTCAGCTACTAGCATTTTGTAAGCACTCCTAATAGAACATGTATCATCAGAAGATAATTTCCAACAAGTAATATCTTGGCCTGCACCTGGAAGACTAGTAATAACATCCGAAGTTTCTTGTCCAAATTGGATTATGACTTGAGCCAGTGGAAGCAGTGAACAAAGGCTTGGCCAACTGCCCTCCTCCCCTGTTTCAATGTCACGCTCCACCACTGTTCTGATGTAGTTACATCTGGCCAAAAGCTCATGTAAGGCATCCTGTATGTCTACGTGGCTAAAACGTTCTTCATCGGTCATCAAACAGATCTGCTTCCCAATCAGATACCAGAAAGCCAGTACGTAAACACAGCTAACAAAAAAATGGACTTTACTCGTATCGTACGTCTCCTTGGAAACACGTACAGTGCGTGCCATGATCACACGAACATACGTTCAAGACGCTAACACGATCATTAGGTGCTGAAAGGAGATTGTAATTTGTCCTGAGTCCAGCACACAAGTGGCACGCGAAAACGTGACGATCTCTTTTCCTCCCAATGATCTTTCTGTTGTTGCACTTCACAGCTGAACTAGCTAATGCATAAGGGAGTAATGGAGTATGGGACAAGTTCCGTATACAACTCTGAAATGTACCAAATACTCCCGCAGAATGCAGCTTAGCGCGTGTTTAGTTCCACCCAACTTCCAAAAAGTGCTACAGGACTTATCACATCGAATGTTTGTGGCTCATGCATAGAGTATTAAATGTAGACGAAAAAAAACTAATTGCACAGTTTGGTGGGAAATTGTGAGACGAACGTTTTAAACCTAATTAGTCCATGTTTGAACACTAATTGTCAAATAAAAACGAATGTGCTACAGTGATCCTAAATTCCAACTTCCTAGAACTAAAACAGGGCTGACACGTTAGGATCACCAAAAGTTCACTTTTTAAGCAAAGATCCCCATACATCTCAACACCCACACAAGTGCAGCTATTGCTTGTCCCATCATATCCTAAAGAAGTAAAGACACAGGCCCATGCTTGACGCCTGAGTTGCTGCAGCAGTTGTGTAGAAGCATGCTGTTTGGACATGCTGTTTGGAGATCCAAAAGACGACTAAAGCTTGCTCAGCAAGCTCATGCAGCCATGCCTGCACACATGCTGTTTTGTTAGGCCTCGTTCACTTTGCAAAAAAAGTGAACTCGATAAATAGTACCACTTTCGTCTTATTTGACAAATATTATCTAATCGTGGACCAATTAGGCTCAAAAGATTCATCTCGTGATTTTTCAACTAAACTGTGTAATTAGTTATTTTTTTTACCTACATTTAATACTTCATGTAAGCGGCTAAAAATTGATGTGATGGAGAGAGAGTGAAAAAACTTGAATTTGGATGGCATCTAAACGAGGCGTTATTTTGTTTTGGATTTTATTTCGCCTGGCAACGTTGGCACGAGGAAACGCAAGAAACCGAGGCCTTGTTTAGATGACCTCAAAGTTATAAGTTTTTTTACTCTTTCTTCATCACATCAATTTTTTATGTATGCATGGAGCATTAAATATAGGTAAAAAAGTAACTAATTGCACAGTTTGTTTGTAAATCATGAGACGAATCTTTTGAGCCTAGTTAGTCCATGATCGGACAAAGTTTGTCAAATACAAACAAAACTTGCTACAGTGTCCAAATTATAAAAATTTGCAATCTAAACGAGACCCGAGGGCAATCTTTGCATGGTCCTTTGGAGAGGAAAAGGACGTCCTGCGATCGCAGCAGCGTGAGATGATCTGTTCGACAGCTTGTTTGGGTGTCCCCGACCCCGTCCGTAGAAGCACCGAAAGGTCTCACCTCTGCTCGCCTTCACCCTCAAATGTGACTCAGCTGGGCGCAAGGGGCAGGAGCTCCAGGAGACAGGAGCAGCAGGCTCGCCGGGTCATCAGAGCGCCGCTGGCCAAGAACAGAGCACCACCGTGCACAAGTGTTTGGGGATCCAGGGGTGGAGTTCCAACGGGCGCAGATATAGGTGAGTGTGCTTCATCAGTCATCGCTGCAGGGCTTCTCGTTTTCGGCTTGGTTTCATGCATCGGTGGTCCTGTATGTCGGTGTGTGTCAGATATGAATCGGCAAATCGCCAAGGTGAGAGTAACCAACGCTACACCATTTTTTTTTTAAATTAAGGGCCACTCTCTGATGCATCTTGCGCTACGATAGTTTTGTTGCAGCGGCGACAGCAACAAACATTGCTTCTGCACCACTCGTCTTATTTTTCATGCCTGAAAACTGAAGGCTGTGCACCACCCTTTTGCGTGCACCGACACACACAGTATAAAATAATGATATTTATTAGATTTGAATGGAACATCAGTTTGGTGAAACATGCACCTTTCTGCGACCACGCCGTGCAATTATTTTGTTAGGGGCTTTAGTTTGTTAGAAGCGCACGTTGACACCCAATCGCACCATGATGTATGGCTGGAACCTGAAACGTCCGGCACGAGCTGTACCACCTGTATGCGTTACACCTAGACTAGATGCAGCACAAGTGCACACTCGATCCTCCACGCACAGACACCTCATATACAAGTAACTAGTACTAGAACAGTAACTTTTCTTTGATTTGAAAAGGATAGTTAACTATAGTTAAGGACTATAGTACATTACTGCATTTTCTTAGCAAACTATATTGCTATGAGTATTACTAGCGAAGGCGCAGTAGTAGTAATAAACTGCGTCGCGTTCAATGTTTCCGCACTTGTCACACAGCATTACCAGACCACGGCGCCCACGATAATTCAGTTAACAGATCGAATCCAATTTTACTTGCACATCTCCATGACGCATTAAGAAAAGATAACATAATCATGATGGTATAGCTTCCGAAAAAGACTGGTTTACGGAGCCTAATGGGTAATGACACGCCGTCCCTCCGCGTCCAGCCCACGCGAAACCGACGGCCAGCTCAGCGCCGCCGCGCCATCCCCGATCCCGTTCGCGGCAACGACGGATCACGCACGCGGCCCCCGCGCCAAGCGCTCCCGTCGCGCCACGTGGCAGACGCCGTCACCACGCGCGGCATATCCGGCACCCCCCGCCGCACATTCCGTCACGGCACCTGACGGAAACCCGCGGCCGCTATAAAGAAAGGGGAAAACCCGCGCTCCTGCTCCCTCCCGCACACGACACAGTCACCACACCCCTCCTCGCTCGCACTCCCTCCGCTCGTCTGACATCTCCTCCCGTCCTTTCCTTTCGAAGCCTCGCGAACCCCGACGATGGCCGCCGCTGCCGCCGCGGTGTCGGTCGACGAGAAGCTCGACAAGCTTCGCGCCGAGGTCGCCAAGCTCGACCAGATCAGGCGAGTCCCTTTCCCCCACTCCACTCCCCTATGCACTAGTAGATCTCGCCGGCCGATCGCTTCGCCTTCCATTTTTGCTGATTTCTGAGTGGGTCTTCCGTGCAGCGAGAACGAGAAGGCCGGGTTCATCAGCCTCGTGTCACGCTACCTCAGGTAAGTAGATCCCGCAGATTCGCTCCGTATGATTGCTTTGTGCGCATCGACTCGTCAGTTGAGTTATCTGGGCTGTGGTGTTTTGTAGTGGGGAGGCGGAGCAGATCGAGTGGAGCAAGATCCAGACCCCGACCGATGAGGTGGTGGTGCCGTACGACACCCTCGCGTCGCCTCCCGAAGGTATGATTGCCCGTTCCGATTTTATCTTAGTTAAGTGTAGTGTGGTGGTTGTTGCGGGTGGATCCGATCGGGGGTCTTTTACACACTTCGTGTGAACACTGATTGGATCGTTTCTCTGTGAGGTAGATCTCGAGGAGACGAAGAAGCTGCTGGACAAGCTCGTTGTGCTCAAGCTTAACGGAGGGCTCGGGACGACCATGGGCTGCACTGGGCCCAAGTGAGTGCACCTCCACCCTCTCCACTACTGTCAGCTGAATTTTACCAGCTCTCATATGTTGGATCATGTATATAGCTTCATTTGAATTATGAAGAGACTAGAAACTGTATTTTTCTTTAGCTAGCCTGTGAATATGTGGATTGTGTCGTTGTTCATTACATACATGTTCTGAGCAACACGAAAAACTAGTGTTGATCTTCCTGCACATGGTTTTTGGTAGAACACTAATAATATACTGTAATATTTATTATCCAAGCTGTCCGTTTCTGGGTTATTTACTTTTGTTCGTTAGTTTCCTGGTCGATAGTTTTGTAGTTGGTACAAGGGTTTCTTTTTCTAATGGGCGCAAATGATTAAACAAGTACCACAATTGCCTTGTTCTTTGGATTTTGGTGTGCATGCTCAAATGTCATATTGCACTGTATCATTGTTATAGTATGAACTGTCCTATTTTATTGGCCCCACCAGTGGAGCTTTCAATGTCTGTGGTCTGGAATAATATGGGAATGGAATACTTTAGTTGTCACTTTCAAATGCTCATACTGTTGCCCCTTTTCTCTGTGTTGAGATTCCAATAGGTTTAGACCTCCTTCCATTCTTCAAAGTCAGTGAATTGATGAGTGGCTCTGTGCATATGTTGGTTGATGTGATAAGGTGATCAAATTGTTTATCTGCTCCCTCCTAATGTGCTGCAGCTGCCTGTATTACTTTCTTATGTAGTGTTCTTAGTGCCTCAACTAGTAGTGCATCGACATTCTGACACATTTGTAATTGAATTGTTGGTTAATTATGCGTCATAAGGCTTCCCGGCATATCATTGTTCACTTAATCTAGTGAGACAGCTTTGATAGGTATTAGCCGCAGTTAGTCACCTGATACAGTTTTTAATCAATTAGTTAGTTATTTGTGCTGCTATGCATGATCCTTGAGATGTTATGGATTTATGGCTCTTCCTTCATCTTTGAGCAGTTAGCACAACTAGATTCCTATGGATTGCAGGTCTGTCATTGAAGTCCGCAATGGGTTCACATTCCTTGACCTTATTGTGATTCAAATTGAGGTATTCTTCATTAACCTGAACATCTTTTCTTACTGTTTGGATATGGCAGTATCGGTCTATGCCTTATTAGTTTACATGTCTCTGCAGTCCCTGAACAAGAAGTATGGATGCAGTGTCCCTTTACTTCTGATGAACTCTTTCAACACCCATGATGACACACAGAAGGTTCCGTATCCCCTTTGCTTGTCTTCATTAAATTGACGAGTTCTTAGAACTGTACTAACATGCTTTTGTGTTCACTAAATGATGATTCCTAGACTTGTACTAACATGCTTGCCACTTACCTTTTCTCTTCCCTGAAGATTGTTGAGAAGTATTCCAACTCCAACATTGAAATTCATACTTTCAATCAGGTTTGCGGCCTGTTTTTGTTATACTTCAGCCACTTATATTTCAATTATATGCCATTTTGGAGTGGCAAGCAATGTTAGCTGATAAATTTGCATTGTCTTCTACAGAGCCAGTATCCTCGCATTGTCACTGAGGACTTCTTACCACTTCCAAGCAAAGGGAAATCTGGGAAGGATGGCTGGTTAGTTTTCCCTCTTAGGTTATTATAAAAGTCAAAATATTCTTCCAATGACTGCTCCCAATGGAATCTCACTTTGCTTGTTGGATTATTTATGTTGAAGGATTTTAGATATAGCTTGAACCATGTTACTTAAAAAAAAAGATTGAACCATACTTTATTTATAGCATATCTTCATAAATGCAATAGCCCCATCTGATTATTGTGATTTTTTATGTGAAAGGTATCCTCCAGGCCATGGTGATGTGTTCCCCTCTTTGAATAACAGCGGAAAACTTGACATCTTATTGGCTCAGGTAAGCAGAAGTCACATTAAGCTTCTCTCTGTAGTTGGCAAGCATCAGTGATCTGGAAACTGATTTTGTACTCTATGGTTTCCAGATATTAATCTTTTTAGGTTTATATTGCACTTAAATATTAATTGCTGTAGTCTTCTACATTACGAAGGGTTACTTCATGAAAGGATAAGTTATATTCGTTTACAATGTACTATTGTTGTGCGTGATTCATAAATCAGATTTCACTGTTTGAGGCCCTTCAATGCTTTCTATGTAAAGAGAGTGCAAGTTTTGGTACAAAATAAAAGGCAAGCTTGTTTCTGAGGCAATCGAATATTGAGGTTGTTTCTCTTTTCTTCCTGAGAAATATAAACTGAAATAGCTATGCAACTTCCAGAAGCTTTTTATGGACTAATAATTGAAACCACAATAGTACACTGATAGCTTAACTGAGCATTTATCTTGTTGCTTTGCTAATCTGTTTCCCAACCCTCTATATCAGGGCAAGGAGTACGTCTTCGTTGCAAACTCAGACAACTTGGGTGCTATAGTCGACATCAGTATCCATATAGAATGATCAAATTTGCATAATTTATTTCCTGCTTTAATACTTAATATTGCTATGTGCTCTGAATTGAAAATTGTATCCTTAATCAGCACAGAGATCCTAAACCATCTGATCAATAACCAGAACGAGTACTGCATGGAGGTATGCAAGAATGTCTTGTTTATACTGCTGTTGAGTTTGTGCAACATAAAACTCAAGAACTGTATTTATTCTAGGTTACTCCAAAGACGCTGGCTGATGTTAAGGGCGGTACTCTCATCTCTTATGAAGGAAGAGTTCAGGTACACTTGTCCGTTGATCAACTTGAATAATTCCTCTGCACTCTGCTAGTTTATTGCCATCTGTTACTGGTTTCAGCATCAAAGAGAGGTTTTGAGCCTTTAATAGTACTCGGAAGTTTGAAGTTTGTATTTATGGCAGACAATTATGCTTATTTCCTGTTCATTATGGGATTCTAGCATAAGATGATACTGATTCATTTTATGATAATTATGCAGCTTTTGGAGATTGCCCAAGTACCTGATGAGCATGTATGTAGCTGTTTCTGCGTTACTTAAGTTTTATAATCTGTTCTATGATTTCATCAGCCTTCTGTAGTAAGAGCTAACACAACCTTTTATTTCTCTTGTATCTCTACCAGGTGAATGAGTTTAAATCGATCGATAAGTTTAAGATATTCAACACTAACAACTTGTAAGAAACCTGGCCTATCTGCCTTTTAAGGGAAAAAAGTCTATCTTTATCTAACAGTTCTTGCCCAACAGGTGGGTGAACCTTAAAGCTATCAAGAGACTCGTAGAGGCTGAGGCACTTAAGATGGAAATTATTCCAAACCCTAAGGTATGTCAACTATCTGAATCTTTATGATATCCATTCCATAGCATTTATATTGTAGTGCATCAGTCAGATTCTTTGTTGAGTGCTATTACCGTGTTGGGTTCTTATACTGAGAAGTTGGCATTTACAGGAAGTTGATGGTGTGAAAGTCCTTCAACTCGAAACTGCAGCTGGTGCAGCTATTCGGGTATGCAAACAACTCCCTGTCCCAGTACTCAGTTTTGTTCCATTTTTTCCTTATATTCGTGCTCTAATGCTTTTGTTACCTTTAACTAGTTCTTCGACAAAGCGATTGGAATTAATGTTCCCCGCTCAAGGTTTCTCCCAGTGAAGGCTACATCTGATTTGTTGCTTGTGCAGGTATTTCTGGATGCATCTCAATGTTTTGTTAGTTTCATATCATAATAAGCCTGGTTCTAAGTTCAATTTTGTTGATGGCTCAATGATATGCTCATTTTTGTTTCCACAGTCTGATCTTTACACCTTGGTTGATGGCTATGTCATCCGCAACCCAGCCAGAGCGAATCCAGCTAACCCTTCGATTGAGCTTGGACCTGAATTCAAGAAGGTAAAGCAGTTTGTCTCCAAGATAATGAAGATATCTTTAATAATAGAGTTCCATCAATAGCATTGAGAATGTTCCTTCACAAAGTAATGTGTTGATGAAACCATTTTTTTAACATAAACTGGCAGGACCTGCCGTTTATATTAATTAATATAGGGGAAGTGCTGATAAACCATTGATCAGTAAAAACCACCATTCTTTTCAACTGGTCAAATCATTGATCCGCATAGACTGATGAATGCCCCCCTTAATACAGGTTGCCAGTTTCCTTGCTCGGTTCAAGTCTATCCCCAGCATCGTCGAGCTTGACATCTTGAAGGTTTCTGGTGATGTCTGGTTTGGCTCTGGAATTACACTCAAGGTAAACTTTGTGATTGTATGGTTCTTCTTTCTCCTTTGTTGCCATATGTGCCGCTTAGGTACTGTATGTCTGTATGACGCTGTATACGGACATGAATACCTGGTGCAAATTTTGTCAGATGTTTCTGTCTGTTCTGGTCTTGTAACTTGTATGCTCATTCCACTCCATACCACCGGCTCATTGAGTTGTGGCATCTGTGTTACTGAATACAATAGTGCCTGATTCATATTGTTGGTGCTATCTCTAGGGCAAGGTGACAATCACCGCCAAGTCTGGAGTGAAGTTGGAGATTCCAGATGGAGCTGTACTTGAGAACAAGGTATGAGCAACATCTCATCGATATGACATTCCCAACTGCTGTGCTTTAGTGGGCGCTGACGCATGGTTCTGCTGGCTCCAGGATGTCAATGGTCCTGAGGATCTTTAAGCGATGCTTGCCATCACCAGTTTTTCCCAAGGACATATCACAGGAGCTGCCAACCCTAATCACTCCCACTGAGCTCTATCTTTTGTAATTTTCATGTGCATTCCGCTTCCGCTGTGAGGGTTCTGTGAGCCCGCTAGAGAATAATTGTGATCTTTGGTGCGTCTGTACTTCTGTTTTTGGTGCGCCAGGGACGTATATTTTGCTGAAATGATACTACCAGCTTTGCTGTATGGTGTCTTACCGGGAGGTCCGTGCTGTATGATGATGTCTTACCGGGAGGTCTCGTGTAGGTGGAAAGGGCACAAAGTGGCCACCCAAGGTAACGCCGTCGTGCGGGACACTTTTCGCGCGAATGGCGCTTGTGGTACGGGACCTTGCAGGTAGGTTCCTCGCCTGCTTGTTCGAATCGAATGTGCTGGATAAAGCGGGATCCATCCGGGATGCACTGTACCAGCCGGTAATTACATTATCCCTATTCTGCAGGTTTTTCATCTTGGTTACCTGAAGTCCTGAACAAATTGCAGTGACTCCCATCATGGTCCGGTAAATTGGCTGCGGTGGTACAATTCTTATAAACCCATCCTGATTTGTTCCAAGTTAAACTAACAATGAATAACTTAAGGAATAAAAAAAAACAATGAATAACTTAAAGTTTAGACAGATTGTCAGCACAACCCTTCGTCCTAAATTATTGTCAGCACAGTCCTGTTCGCTTAAACTTATTAGCCCGGCTTATTAATTATTGTACGGTGTTTTTCACTTACAACAAAACAGCATCAGACGCAGAAACCATTAGGCATGTATATATAACTGCATAGCAAAAGTTATATATCTAGAAAATCAAAACGGCTTATAATTTGAAACGGAGGAAGTGCTATATATTTGCAAAAGGAAAAAAGAATATTGACATGTGACACAAGAAGTGAATCGAGAAAAATAGCTTTTGACCACCATGGCACATTTGACACTTGAATGCCTGGTGCGGTTGTGATAGGTCTTTTCTGTACTTATTTCACTCCAATCCAAGCCGTCACAGTAGTCGAGCGGCAGACAGATTGCTATGACACTTTATATTGTCCTACGAGATCAAATACTCAGCGGGCGGACTTTCTTGCGTTCGTAGTAAAAATCAACAGCTATGGCTCCTCCGTTCTGCATTACATCGAGCGCGACACTTGTTCAGATGAACTCCTCGCTGCATAGTTCTTTCAAGTTCAACAAATTTTATCAAAGACACGAGTTGGCTTCAACCAAGATCAAAGGCACTCATGAATGTTTAGCATATTGTATAGATCAGATCAAAGACAACAAGAAAGAAAACTGTAGCAAAAAGCAACCAATAGGGGCTAGAAACCAGCTACAGAATGACCAAACGACCTAAGCTACACCACACTCAACAGATCGAGTTTAACCCATCTAATACAAAGTTGAACAAAAGTTAACCAACATACAAATAAGAGTTCACATATTTGCAAGGGCGTCCCACAAATCAAACCTATTCATAACTACTAACACTACTAATACGTCCCATAGATAGGGTCGAGGCTGGCATGGAGGATTAGCTCCACGTCCACCTTCGTTAAGATGGCGTTGGCGGCCGGCTCGAACTCTCGACCAGATCGGCGATGTCATCGTCCTTCGATCCCGGTGAAAAACCCTGCTCTGCCACCCAGACGTTCACCGCTGCGCCAATCTGAACCTGGGCAGCAGCCAGCGCCGTGGCAGCCCCCTGACGAACGTCTTGGGTCACCACAGCTCGAAGGCGGGCCAACAGAGCTCGGGCGCGCTCCTCTGCGGCGACCGGATTGTCCGCTGTTCCCATGGGGGAGGCCGTGTCATAGGCGGCTTGCGCGCACAGCTGTAGGGTCTGGACCCGCGTCCTCAGTTCCACAAGAAGGTTCATCATGTTATTGGCCTACTCCTTGACGATCACCCAGTCAGCTCGCTCCTGGGAGGCCTCATCGGTGGATGCCTCGTGGGGACGCTTTCCGCGCGCGACCGCGGACGAAGAACCGAGCTCCAGGGCCAGCGAGGCTCGGGACGCCGTCACGTCCACATTCACCTGTTGAGAAAGTATGCACATTCCAAATACTAGTTAAATTAAACAGCATGAACACATACTATCTAGCTAGTGTGAGCATTGCTCGCATATTCTAGTTAAATGAAGATAAACAACATGAACAACAGTATGGTGATGATCCACCTTCGAAGAGGGAACTGGTGGTGGGTCAGAGATCACGCCGATGAGAGGTCTGTCTGTCAGAGGAGGATTGCCGACGTGGAAGGCATCCAGGGCCTCCCCATCGCCATGATCCTGTGTGGACACTCCAATAGCTATCATCATCAGATCGTCTACCTACTCCACACGGATGGGGACGCTCGACTCGATTGTAGGGTCCGTCACGCCTTGGAACTCCCACTGGGGTGGCTCCTCATCTTCAAGGGGAGGACTTGACGGCTAAAGAAGGTACGGATCACCCTCGGCGCCATCATTCCCCGATCCTTTAGATCCTCGATCGCATCCAGCAATAAGTGCAAATGTTGCGGTTCCGATAGGGTTGGCGTCCTCGACCATGATTCCGGTGTGTTAGGACATAGCCGATCGTGAGAAAAAGTCAGCAGCGGCAGCTGCTCATTGTTGGGGACGTAGAGCCACCTATGCTCCCAATCCTGGTGAAAGCTCTAGTTTGGTTTTGGTAAATTTATGAAACCCTAAGTGCTAACCTAGTTTATCAAAGTGATCATGAGATATGTAGCATATTTCAAGTGGTGAAGCAAATAAAGATCATAACATGATGATGGTGATGCCATAGTGATGATCAAGTGCTTGGACTTGAAAAGAAGAAAGAGAAAAACAAAAGGCTTAAGGCAAAGGTATAAGTGGTAGGAGCCAATTTGTTTCGGTGATCAAGACACTTAGCGAGTGTGATCACACTTAGGTTCGATAGATGTACTATTAAGATGGGTGAAACTCGTATCAAAATACAGTTATCAAAGTGCCACTAGATGTTCTAACTCATTGCATATGCATTTAGGATCTAGTGGAGTGCTAACACCCTTGAAAACATTTGTGAAAATATGCTAACACATGTGCACAAGGTGATACACTTGGTGGTTGGCACATTTGAGCAAGGGTAAAGAAGATAAAGTTGAAAAGGAGTTAGTCGTGCTGGTCACAAAGTGACCGGACGCGTCCGGTATGGCGACCAGACTCCGGCTCAGTGAAGCGACCGGACGCTGAGAAGTTACTGTTCCGCGTCCGGTCAAGGTGAGGTAGCCCGATATAGGTTTGCAGATAAGCGACTGGATGCATCCGGTGTGAACCAGCAACTCTCGGGTTTCAGCGCTATAATTGATTGGACTCTGGGAGCGTCCGATCCGGTGTGACCGGACGCGTCCGGTCAGCCCAGAGCGGCTCTGGGAGCTCTCTGGACTCGACCGGACGCTGCCCGTCCTACGTTCGGTCATTCACACCGGACACGTCCGGTCGCATTTGAGTGTGGTACTCGTGACAGCAACGACTACTTCATTTGAATGGGACACACGACGGTCAGGTAGCGACCGGACGTAGGCGTCCGGTCACCCACCGGATGCGTCCGGTGCACACGACCGGTGCGTCCGGTCACCCCGCAGTCAGCCCAATAATTAAGCCAACGGCTCTATTGTTTGGGGGTGTCTATAAATACCGCTTGGCCAGCTCTAGCTCACTCTCTTGACCATTTGCATTGACATAGCGACCTTGTGAGCTTAGCCAAAGCCCTCCCACTCATCTTCATCATTGATTCAACATCTTTGTGAGATTGAGAGTGAATCCAAGTGCATTGCTTGAGTGTTTGCATCTAGAGGCACTTGGTGTTCGTGTTTCGTTGCGGGATTCGCTCATTACTCTTGGTGGTTGCCACCACCTAGACGGCTTGGAGCAGTGAGGATCGTCGAGTGGAGGTTGGTGATTGTCTTCGGCTCCGATCGTGGTGATTGTTAGGGGTTCTTGACCTTTCCCCGGCGGAGAGCCAAAAGGTACTCTAGTAAATTGCTCGTGGCTTGTGTGATCCTCATCTTGTGTTGGTTGTGCGGCACTCTATTGAGGGTTTGACATGTGATGCCAATTAGCGCGTGAACCTCCAAGTGAGTGAATCGCCACAACAAGGACTAGCTTGCTGTCAAGCAAGTGAATCTCGGTAAAAAATCATTGTGTCATAATTTGATTCCGAGGTGATTGGTCTTCATTCTTGTGATTGATTGGTTCATTCGTCGACTCGGCGGTATAACCATCTTGCTCTCTCTTTACAATACCGCAAACTAGTTGTCAAGCTCTTTAGTGTAGCTAGTCGTGAGCCTGTGAGCTTTGTACCGATCACGCCACACGTGGGTAGGGGCGGCCACGTGGCTCGCGCCCGCTGTTAAGTTGACCCCTTTGTGAACCCTCGCCATGTGAGCCCAGCGGCGTTGGCCCCCCCGGCATGCGGCGACGCGAAGGGGACGAGGAGGAGGAGGAGGGCCTCACCGCGTGGAGAGAGAGGGAGAGGGAGAGGAAGGGCTGGAAGGGGGCGACGAGCGTCGCGGCGATGCCGAAGAGATCGAGGGACGGGGTTTTCTTTCTTTTTTTTACGGTACCAGGGAAGCTTCGGGACGGGACGAGAGGCTTTTGAGGCAGGTGGGAGTAACCAGGACTATAGATCGTGAAATCTAACGGTCAAAACTATTTTAGGTGGCGTGTCCCATCTCCCCTATCGGGGTTAACCTTAGGATTGTAGGCGAGAACTAGTGAAGAGCGCACGCCATCGCGCGCACATGCAGGCAGAAAGATGAAGACTGAACAGCGTTTTAGCTAATAAGTATGTTGCTGTACTTACACAGATGGCTTCGATATTACACAGATAGGCACATGTTCG